GAGAGAGAGGATGCTGCCTGTCCGGAAGAGCTTGGGTTGATCCGGAGCCCCGGCGGTCTTTGATGAGAGATCGGGGCGGCTTTATTGATGATTGTTTTCCATTTCTGGAGCTGGTCGGCTGAGTTTCTCCGGCGGGCGCCCTGGGAAGCTCCTGGCAGTCGAAAAAAAAAGATGACAGGAAGAGAGAGGAAGAGGTAGGGGTTGAAGAGAGAGGATGGGAGAGAACACGGTTTACTCGGATCTCTTTTCTCTCTCTTTTTTTCCCTTCAACGGGGAAACTTTCCCAGGAGAGAGAGAGAGAGAGAGAGAGAGAGAGAGAGAGAGAGAGACCGGCGGGCGCCCTGGGAAGCTCCTGGCAGTCGAAAAAAAAAAGATGACAGGAAGAGAGAGGAAGAGGTAGGGGTTGAAGACAGAGGATGGGAGAGAACACGGTTTACTCGGATCTCTTTTCTCTCTTTTTTTTCCCCTTCAACAGGGAAACTTTCCCAGGAGAGAGAGAGAAAGAGAGAGAGAGATCCTTTGTAAGATTAAGCCGGCGGAGTTGGCTTGCTGTGGGATGCTCGCTCACCTGGAGCGGCCCCCTAAACGCAAACCAACGGAGGGTGGGTAGCGCGGAGCGCTCGCCCCCTTCGCCGCGTTGTGCCGATTGCGCTTCGCTCGAGAACTTGGTGCCGTCCAAGGTCCTGAAATTTCCCCGTTGCCGCGGAGAGAGTTAAAAAGTCCCCCCCCCGGCGCTCGCGGCTTTTTCTAGCCTCTAGTGAGAATCCGGAGAAGCAGAAACAAGTAACACGTAGGAAACTGGTTTCAAAAAGGTACCACTCGACACCTTCCTTTCTCACCTTGTTTCCCCCCCCCTACTTTCCTGTCTCTTCCCTCCCTCCCCTTTCTCTCTCTTTGCCTCTCTTTTCGTGGGTAAAATATCCTTGCTATTCATTGGACCCCTGAAGTTTTAAGTGTTGTTCTTCTTGTTGTTGTTAAAGTAGACTAAAGTAAAAGTGCTGGGAAAGTGCTGTCTATTTTTGAAAGAAGTTTTTTTTTTTTTTGAAATTCTACAAAAACAAGGCGTTTGCTTGCTGAATTAACCAAGGTATGGATCTTACTTTCAGATCCCCACCATATATAATCACCAGAAACAAAAGGGAGAGGGGTGTTCTAGCTCTAAAAATACATATATATATATATCCTTTAAGGTGTATTGTTTTGATCATTTAGATGGTTTGTTTCATTACAACCAACTTCCTTTCTTCCTGTAATAACCTAGAATGAGAAATAAGGGTCTAGAAGACTGGCTTTCCTGGTAGGTTGAGTTTTTTTGAAACACAAGTTGGTCTCAGACTCTCCGTGTTGGTTGGTGGTGTTTGAAATGAAAGTGCAAAGTGCAAAATGAATCGGAAAATAAATTATTGTACTAAAAAGGAGCAAAGGATGCTTCAGACTGGTTGCTGAGCCATCCGTTCGTATGCCTTGGGAACCCCAATGGCTGATAGGAACTGCTGTATTTGCTTCTGGTTTTTCTGTTTATCCCAGTCCTGATTTTTGCTCTTGAAGCTGAACCAGCTGAGGCCTAACTTAGAGTTGTTGTTGTTGTTGTTGTTCCTTTTCAGAGCAGCCATTTGCTACATGTGAAAGGCAAAAGGGAAAGGGCATCATTATGACTCACCCCATTGTAAACATGACTATCCTGGTTTCATATTATTGTTTGCTGGCCGACCGGCTGGCTGGCTCCCATTTGCTTGTGGTTTCCTGGAGATCCACTTTGGGTGAAGTTCTTCTCCTCTCCAGTAATTACATCCACCCTCTCTCGTGTTGGCTCATCTGTTCTTATTATCGGCTTCTTCCATATGTCCACTTTAATTACTGACAGACAAAAGGAGAATAAAAATGAATTAAGAGGGAAAGGGTGGCTGTTGGAATTAAAGTTTGAGTGTTGCTTTGGCTACGGTGGGAGAGGAGCTGAAACGGGGAACAAAAATTGTAGGGGTCCGAGCTTGCGTGGCACTCTTTTCATCTTCTCTGACGTTGTACATCTTGCTCTGAAAACAGATTGCTAATTTGAGAACAGTGGGGCTCGCATGAGGCTTGGCAGAGAAAGCAACATTGCTTTGCTTTGGACCCAACTCAACAAGAAGGGGGGGGTGGTGGCAGGTTAGACCAATGCTCCACGTGGAGTTGGCAAACTAGGTTGATCCATCTTTGGCCTTTTGCTGAAAATCCCTTCTTCTTTTTCTTTCCACAATCTTCGCTCAGCGGCTGGTCACTTCCTAGCTGTGTGTATGTTTAATGTGTGTGTGCAGAAGACAAACAGATACCGGTCAGAGAAGGAAAGAAAAAAAAATGTCAAAGTTCTGAAAGCAGGCCAGCTTGTTCACCCCAGGAGAACCCTGGGAAGTTCTGGGAAAAAAATCAGAAGGTTTGCTAATCAACACTAGATCTATATTTAGAACAGTATAAATAGCGTCCCACTGAAGGAGCCAGGATGCATCATGTTAGAAGGAAACTAGAAGGATCCCCTCCTACCCTTTTCTTCTTTTCTTAGACACCTATCAACTTTCAGAAGTGAAGCTGGAAGCAGAGTGAGAAGTGGAGTGTTTTCACCTCCCTGTGGATCGAAATACAATTTTCTCCGGCAGGGACCGACAGTAAAATCGCAGATAGAATTCTTTGCTTGGGGATTCAAGAGATTCAAATATTACCTTGTCTAGTCATCTTTGGATGGATCCTTGTGGTGTACAGCAGCTGATCCATTTTGTCCACAGACATCTACTTAGGCTCCTCGCATTCCATTCCACCCCATTTCCCCAACATCCTATCGCCCTGGAGTGTGACCAAGAAACGGAATGGGTTGGGGATAGGCAGACAGGGACTGGCACGGTTCTTGAAGACTCCCACTGAGTACACAGCTAGGAGAAAGCAAATTCTGCTTTTCAGTCTGGACACTGGGATGAGGCACAGAGACCACCGACCCTTTGTGGCATTCTTGTTGACATGGCTGTTCTTTCTGCCCTAGATACACATGGCCTCTATTTGCATCTAAGGGGGAAAGTAAGTGCTATGATTGAGGACAGCATTGCAGTGAGACCCAAAGCTTCCCAAGGACAGCATAGGGAGGGGGAAGGAGAGCAATGATTCTCCCACCTCCTGAGACACACCCCCCGTTTCTGTATGTGTGTATGCCTTGATGGTATTCCTGCTTTGAGCAGGGGGTTGGCCTTGATGGCCTTGTAGGCCCCTTCCAACTTCACTTTTCTATGATTCTATGATTCCATGTGCATATGTGGATGCACGTTTGTGTGCAGCAGTGGCCAGAACTCTGTGGATACTCACATGAAGTTTGCATTACTTTCTGTGGCTAATTGTAGCTAACTGATGATGTGCCAGGGTATCTCACGTGCTGGGTCATGCACCTAGCTGTGGAATGAGGTGCTCCTGACACCTTATCAGTTACTGCAATTAGCTGCAGCAAGCTACACGAACTTCATGGGCACACTGAGAGAAGTCTGGCCACTGTTTTTCCAATACACACACACACACACACACAAAGAAAGGAATAAATATGGACAAGCACCTCCTTCTCCACTTCCACTGTGAGTAGCCTTCTAGGTTGAGGTGGGGTGGCATTCATTTATTTCAGGACCGTAAACCAGGGTGGTATAGTGGTTAGAATATTTCATCTAGAACAAAGAAGAGTTGAGTTCAAATCCCCCATTTGAACATACTAACTTCATACCTAAGGCCAGTTACTCTTTCTCAGGCTGGCCTACCTCACAGAGGCATTGTGTTAAAAGAGGGCTGCATACACCCTGTTGAGTTCTCTGCAAGAAAGACAAGCTGTACAGTATGTGTAACAAATCATTTTCAAAAATTCTCTGAAATAAAACAGGTTGGGAAAGCAGGCTTAGTTTCACCTCTTGTTCTGCTTGAACCCATAGCCTCATGGGTAGATATGGCAAAGGAGTTGAGGAAAGAACTGGAAAACTCTAGCATGCCCCCTTCCTTGCCTATATGTACAATCTGATGAGCCTTTAGTCCCATGAACACATATTAAGTCAACTTTACAAATGCAGTTTAAGCCAGAAACCTGAGACTTAAGCCAATACTACTGCTAACTGGGAAGAGCTGGAGAAGTTGCTGTGTATAGTGGGGAATGCCTTTGAGATGAACAACAAAAAATGGGAATATAATAGTTCTTCAGATCTCCTAGAACACAATGCTATGGACTTTTTTAAGAGGGAGAGATGGATGGATGGATGGATGGATGGATGGATGGATGGATGGATGGATGGATGGATGGATGGATGGATGGATGGATGGATGGAAGGAAGGAAGGAAGGAAGGAAAGGAAGGAAGGAAGGAAGGAAGGAAGGAAGGAAGGAAGGAAGGAAGGAAGGAAGGAAGGAATGGGAGAAACAATGATGTGATAGAATTTCTATTAGCTGGTGTAATGAATGTAATGTTGTCTTTGTTACAACACAAACAAACACACACATAGCATGCAAATGGATTGCATTTGTAAGTTTAGTGGTGAGAATGTGCTCTTATCCTTACATCTCAGGGTTTGGGCACAATCAGTTGGCGAATTGACTGCCCAAATCCTGCTGTTCTGTGTGCCGTGTCCTTTCCATGAAGGGACATGGAAAGGGTCATTGAGTCAGCACTAATCAAGAGAATGGCCGTGCTTGGGTGAACTTGTCCCCCCTCCCCCAAATCCAACTCTAATGAAGGGCAGAGAAATTGGGCAACAAACATGGATCTATGATCC